ACACTATGTCACGGCACACTAGTCTGCCGCGGCACAGTGGTTGAAAAACACTGCTGTAGACTACCTGCAAGCCAACATACAGTTGCCTGCATCCCAATAATCAGGAGATACATGCAATGCATTCATATCCCCCCAGGACACAATTAATTTGTTTAATGCATATATTAAATTTATTTCTTAATAGCTTCAGTATAAATTATAGTTAATTTAAGGCAATTTCTCTTACATCCTTGCCCCAAGTGCTCTGCTAAAATGCCCCTTCCTTTATTAACTGTTCTGGAATGTACTAATGACTATGTTGGTATAGCATCTGAAAACAAAATATTGTTGCATGTATGGGTAGGTTACCATAAGACAAGCAATAAAGGCATCGCTAATAGTAATATGTAGTCTAAAATGGGACTTGTTTTCTTCTTCCCATTTTTTTCTGTCCCAGATGTAGTATTAATGGGGGGAGGGGGAAACCATCTTAAAAACCAGTTTTCTACCATGAAGGACGCTTCTGATCCCTTTGAAATAATCCAAGTAAAACTATATTGTATTGTATTTTATTATTTGTATGAAAAGATTGTATGCAACTCTAACAAAACAGATAACAGATAATTATGTTATTATGTGCTTTAGCAAAAGAGCCTAATTATCTGATTTGGAATTATACCAGAACATCAGGGATCAATATCCCCTTCAGGAGTAATGTTGATCTCCTCAATATTACCCAAACGTTTTAAGCCGGGCATGCACAACGGTTGAAATTAAGATATGCCTCACTTTAACATGGCATCAGTGAATCCAATGTAGATGTCAGCTTCTGATCAAACTCACTTTGTCACTGGTACATTGCTGAACCCTTACACAGCTCCAATCCTGTACTGTGCTTCTAAATCTTAAGAGTGCTGCAATTTTGCTTACAAATTTGTTTTCGCAATTATTGATGGAGTAAGGGACAGATGAAGAAGGAACAGCATGGGCTTGATCTAGAGGATGATTAGAAACCAGCCTAAGATTGTATATTTAACAAATCTGCTTTAAGAGGATACATTTCCAGATTTTGCCCCTTTTATCTACATTTCAAAACCATTGAAATTTTTCTTCATTCTGTTTTAATTGTTTATTAATAATTAAATTTAGTTATTCCTCTTTTTCTTCACATCATTATGCATTCTATAACATTACCTTAGATTCAAAGAGAAACAAATGCAAACTACAGCTAAATGAGGCAAATGTAGGTGTTAATTAATTCCGTGGTTTAACCCCTTCTGAGATAAACTTAAAAAATCAGTTGACATATCCCAATGGTGTAATTCACTTTTTTTTATTTCAACATCAAAGCTGAGAAAATTTTGACAGATCAGGTATCCTGCTGATTTTTTTAAAAAGCTGTTTGTAACATTCTTTCAAATGTGCAAAAAAAGAAACAAAAAAGGATTAAACCTTTTTTTTCATTTAACAAAGCAACTCTGACAAAACAGATACACCAATTATGCTATTATGTGCTTTAGCAAAAGAGCAGAATAATTCAACAAATACATTATGGCACACAAGCCTCATAATAAAGGGAAAACTTTACAATAAAAAGGTAATGTAGTGCACAAAGCTTCATTTTTTTTTAAAAAAGTACAATAATGTGGCATAAAGCAGCCTGTTGGGTTTATTTTCTAACTAGCATCTTTTGACTTAATGTTTATCATAATCCAGCGGGCACTTCAAGATTGAGGAGCAAACGGCTTTGTTTTAAAAGGTGCGTTGCAGAATGACATTCCTACTAAAGACAGATCGGCAGCATGGCAGCATATAAATTCAGGCACATTTGAATGCAAAACAAATAGGTTCATTACAAAAATTCTTTCCAGGACAGTGCAAAATTGTAAAGTCCCTCAAAAGGCAACAATTGTTTACAAAACATCATTCAAGACCAAAATACATCCAGAATTGAATTAAAATGAGAGAATGCACCAATGACAGGAAAAAGGTTTTTGAGCGTTAAAAGTATTTTTGGTACTTCCAAGGTTTATATGATAATTATACTTCAACAATGTTAGGCTGATAGCTTAAAAGCATTGCATGAAGTTCAGATCTTCACTAGTGCTCACTTCAGATCTGAAGGATCACGTTACAAAGCCACAGTGCATTTGAAAAGAGCTTTCAGAAGAGCGGGCTTGCAAGGCAGAACAATTGATTCATTTGACTGATTCTGCAAAACATATAGTTTGAGATCCAAACGTCTGCTGGCTGAACAGTTGGCTTCTACCTTAGGTGCTAAAAGCAATAGCATTAAGAACATGTGTATAAAACAAAGGCTCAGATTCACACTAAAACATATGGCAAACACTAGCACCAATATCCAGCAAGATTTGGGCTTAGAATCACTGTGTGAATGAAGACATACTTTGCAATGCTTATTTAGGTGCCTTTTAAACCAGATGGATGCATTGTTTGATATAAATAGGAATGCACATTTAAAATCAGGGTGATTCATAAGGCTGTGATATATACGATAAAGGTCTAGCTGATTTTCAGTGGCGCTGAATCAATCATCCTGATTTTCAGGATAGGAAGGTTATGGCAATTTGGTGGTGTCCACCTTCTGAAATCACAGCAACACGATTGATTTTAGAAACTGGGTCTCACAATGAACCCTCACAATGATTGCAATTTTTTTCACAGAGAAGCAGAGGCTTTGTTGCATAAAGTTATGAGAAAGCTGAATGAGGACAAATAAGGGAAAGGATGACACACTAATTGTTTCACTTTCATGGCATCAAAAAAGACCGGGGGGGGGGTCAAAAAATTTAAGCCTGCATGTACAAGTATATGAAAATATTTTTACAACATCAGAAAGACTGGTTTTTCAATTGGAGAATGTGCTACAGCTGTGATGACGAACCTATGGCACATGTGCCAGAGATGGCATGCTGAGCCCTCTCTGTGGGCATGTGCGCCATCGCCAGCTGATCTTCTGGTTTTCTATGCGCCAGCCAGCTAGTCTTCACGGGTGCCGGAGCACCAGAAAACAGCCCAAAAAACAGCTAAAAATGGTGTGAAAATGGCCCCCAAAACGGCCTGAAAATGGCCAAAAAATCAGCCAAAATAACAGGCATGTGCACTCCAGCCAGGTGGTCTTCGGGTTTCCAGCACACTGGCATGCATACATGCATGCACATTCTGGTTTGGGCACTCAGTTTCAAAAAGGTTCACCATCACTGTACTAGAGGCATGTAACTGATTAAGGTCTTGTCAGTTTCAGATAGCAGGAAGGTATTAATCAAGGTCACAGTGTGGCGCTTGTTAACTTGCTGTTGGCACTCATAGGGGAGTGCTGCACTCTGGAGAAAAGCTGCTCAGGAAGTGATAGTTTGTAGATACTCAAAAAGCCAATGATATTTGATTTTTAAGGCTATGCCTGCCAGGCAGAGGACCTGAAGGCAAAAAGGAGGATATGCCCTCCTTTTGCCAGGTAATCTTATATTTGTACTCTTCTTCCAGAACTGCTTTGGAACTTCATCTGTGTCCATTTTTCTCCTGACTATCAAAACATCACAAAAGGTGAATATTTTTTAACCAGAGGCTAAGAAGACAATCATGGGAGGGACTGCCTTATTTGCACAAAACATAAGGCAATCTTATCTCAAGGGCTTAAAGAGCAGAGAGAATCCTGTGCTTTCTACAGCCATGCGATTGCATCTGTTAATTAAAGCGGGTGTGCATAAGAGCATAAAGGCATCAGAGTGCCTACCGTCCCTGCCCTACTGTTCCCATTTATTTGTATTAATTTCTTTTGTTCATATCAATGTTTATATTTATACCTGTTATCTTGTACATGTTTGACAAATTAATAAATACACATACAAATTTGTGTTCTCCCTCCATTTTCCTCTCACTGAGATTCCTTCATGGTGGAGAATTCTCAATAGTCCCCAAAATTACAAATGTATATATGGCTGAAAAAGCAGAATGGCTGTTGCCATTTCACTGAAGGGCACAATTCATAACAACTAAGTTTCTTCACCCAGGAAAAAATTATCGATCTTTTTATAGATGTGTTCCGAGTAATGGGAACTTGACCAGAGGAGCTAAATATATCTTGCAGCACCCCAAAAGAGGAGGGCTGGGAGCAGTGGAGATGGTTGGCAAGAAATCGGCCTGAACTAGAATCCACAATAACACTCAAATGTAAAGAAAGGATTTGCACACACAAAAATCGCCCTTATAAAAGCCCACATAAAAAATTACACTTCCCTCCTTTCTCCTTTGTGCCTCCAAATCAGAGGTGTCCAACTTCAGCAACTTTAAGACTTGTAGACTTCAACTCCCAGAATTTCCCAGCCAACAAGGTGGGTTACAAAGCCATGTTTGATTACTATTAGGAACTCATTTGAGGCAATGCCCTTTGGATTGAACAAAAAGCAGAATTAGCTGCCATGAAAGGCCTTTGTTGAAGGACAAGGTTTTAGTGTGTTTTTACTCCTAGACCAAGTGAAAACTGTCTTGTCTCTCAGGAATATAAAATTGTATATGCAGTAATGATTTTTAACAATCGCTAAGCCTTAGGCACACATGATTGCATATGAGAGAAGATAACTGAAAAGGGTTTTTTTCCCCTTGTGGTTTTGTTGTATTTTAACCTGTCGACTGGTTATACAGAAGAGCTACATTCAGTTGTCTGATAGGTGAGCTTTGCATGTGTGTATTATATGCACAGAAACACACACTGCATTCAGTAAGGTGCTTTCAACAAACAATAGCAATAAGGATAATACAATGCTTCCAGCAAACTAACAATAATGACTAGATATTTTTCTTAAGTTTCAGACATTTAACAAAAAGCGATTTCAATTACCAAGCCGGACCTGTCCCAGGTATGCTGGCATTAAAGCTAAAAACATCTCACACTCCCGTGCTAAGGGCCTAGTCCTATCCCTCCGACATTTTGCCCGTTAATCTGTCAAGGCAAAATCATGGTTTCTGTTAGGAAAATAGATGTAGTGTACATTACTTAAATAGACTGAGACCAATTTTAATCTTTTGCATTGTATGAGGATAGGCAGAAACTGAGTTATGGTTACATATATCTACTCAGAAGTCTAACCAATTGGCGTACAAAGGACCTATTGAGGTCCTGTACTTGAAATGTTCACCATTCACTCAGATGGGGAGGAAAGCTTCCAATCATTCTTTCTAGGTCTTAGATGGAAGCTCCAAACCAGCAGAAGTGAATTGGGGCTGGGGGTGGGGGCAACCAAAGCAACAAATACACAGAAATCTTAAGGAACCCTTAAGGAACCAGTAGAAAAAGAGCAAAAGTTTTTTCCCTTATAAAAATAGAAATACTGAATTATATTACTGTAGCCTGATCCTATGCTTGTCTATTCAGAAGTATGTCCAATTGCATACTATGGGGCTAAACTCCCAGTTAAAAAATACCTAGATTTTCAGTTAACAGCTGGGTATAAATGATTAAAATTTGCTTTCTTTGATTATGGCCCTACAAGAATTCTTTGTGTTGTTAATATATCATGCAATATATTACAATATAATATGAATCATGTAATATATTGTATATATAGCATATATACAGTGTGGGGATTTTGTCTTATTTCAAAGGGTACAGCTGTACCCATTTTTGGCAAGGCACTTCATATCAAATGTCAAAGCAGGACCATTGATTTTTGTTCTTTTTATATTTTGAAAATAGGTACTTTATGCTATTAATAAAAAGCAAGGCCATTAGCAATGAAGCTCAAGCTAGAAGTGTTGGCAAGAGCACTGTAAAAACAGGTGGAGATTCACAACGTTTGGGCATATATTTGGGAAGGGAATACATTTTAACAAAAGTGGTTACTGTCAATCATTTGTAGAGTTTGACCTGCACTGGCCTAGACGTGTGCACTTCGCTTTGGAAAGGGTCAATATAGGCCAGACTCAAAGAACAGGATGTGACCTCAGCTGCAGTGCAAAACTTTCTTGTCCTTTCTTCATTGTTCTCTTACCACTAGTTGTGACTCAACATAAAGTTCTGTTGTTTTGTGTATAGAAATTCTCAGTCACCCAGATCATGATTGTCCCAAAGGTGTTTTTTTTCCCAAGAGGCAACTGGACTTTCTGGTTTTTCTTTGAAGACATTTCGCTTGTCATCCAAGAAGCTTTTCAGTTCTTCTCTGGATGGTGGGGAATGGAAGGATTCATCTGAGAAGCAAAACATCTTCAAAGAAAAACCTAGAAAGTCCAGTTGCCTCTTGTAAAAGCACCTTTGGGACTTTATTGCTTTGGCAGATATTAGGGAGCATCACATGCAAATCCAGGACCTTGCTCAAGGAGGCAGATGACTTTCCTACTGTGGAGCGCTGATTGGATTGAATAGACGTGGAATTTTCTGAAAGTTAATTTCAGATACCACCTAAATATGTGCAGGTGCAGCTCTCCCACAAAGTTACCTCCAGTGGAAAGCAGGCGAGTAGAATGGCCAGACCATTCCATTCTTGGCGGTTGGCAGCAGGGGCATAATTTTCCCATGATCAGTTGGGTTTTTACAGTTCATATGTGACCTGTCAGTTAATGTATGAAGTAGATGGTGTAATTATATTTTCAGCCAGAGGTCCTTAGGTGATTCACAATTAATTGATACAATGTCATATTTTAATTGGGCTATGGTCTATTAGATATTGTAATGGTCAGCACAGAAATTCAGCCTGAGACAGATAGGGGGAGAAATCTGTTACCTTTGGACCCTCATTGTGAATTTAGCAGGGCCAATGAATTGAATTATGCCAGTTTTTAAAAATGATAATATTAATTTTCCATCCATGGGCTTACCCTTATTATGGTAAACTCTGTAGGGCTGAGCCATCCCCCTTTAGCATCTCACAGTTATCTTCTCAAGTTAACTGAAGGGCTTTTCTTGCTGAAATAAACTGGAGCATCCTGCAAAGTTTGAGAGGGTAGATTAATCTATTTGAATATTGTATTGGTGTCACTGAAAGGAATGAATCCCAACGGGGAAATCTTAAATTAATATTTTCTCTTCTCTTTTCTCTTAATTCTTTTTTAAATGGGAGTATAACAGAATCTTAGTCCTTAACCACCATTGCTTTCTATACTGTATCTGGGTGGTGCACTTTTCTTGTATCCACCAAACAGCCAATAAATGTTACATGTAAACATCACCTACTCAACTCAGCTGGGATTTTTGCCCAATTGATTTAAAAATAAAAGATCATCCAACTTCTCTATATGATACCAGCAAACAGAGTGCAGGAATCCTCAAGCTTGTGTTTTGCTAACACAAACACACTTTTTTTTTTAAAAAAATGAAACAATTATGTCCAAAATTATAATGTTCTGCCATTAATGAAGTTGACCATCGTTGTTTTGGGAACCAGTGGTGATTGTTGAGTATTGGAGTGCTTAGACATGGTACCAGTTCATCTAAGCCTGGCGTTTTTTGATGGGACACTCAGAATCCTGTAGGCTGTTTGTAATCTGAATTCAGACTGCTTCTTGCACAGGTTCTTCTTCCTGTTTGTTCACATAGCAAGGTGGTAAGGAATGCATTGAAGCAGGTGCCATGGCCAGCTGGTTTGAAATCTCCTCTTCATTGGGTGGTGTGTTCCTAGCTGCAGGAGCATGCAGACGGTGAGCATCCAGCATTTCCAGCAATAAATCGTAAAGTGGGACCACATTCTTGCACTTCATGTTATAGAGGTGCTCCATCCCTTTATTGCTAGAGGTTCACATAAAAATAAAATTAAATACCATTATCCCATGAGATTCCAAGTCTGACTCACCTATTGCTTGGGGATTTGTTTTGAAGGATACAAAGCATGTTCAAATATATTGATGAATAGCCTGTCTAAGTGGGGCAGTAAAACGTAGATTCTGGATTATACTAGAAAAGCAGCAAGCTGACTATGGAGAATTTATTCATTTAATTAATTACATTTAGGGTCCACCCAATTCCAGATTACTCTGGGTGGCTTACAGTTTAAAGAAAGAGAAAGAATCATGCATATCTGGGGGAAAAATATAAAATAAAACACCCAACATGGGCTCGACCCACACCCTTCCCAAAACCTGGAAGAATAACAGGAATTCAAAAGCTTCTGGAATTCATTGGGGAGGGAACTGTACAAATTTCAGTGGAGGGAGATAGTACTCCAGAGAGAAGGCTTCCAAAGGAGTTGCCTGCAAACCTCAGATTAGTACCCCATTTTAGGAACAATGGTACTATAGCGCTTTTTAAGCACAGAATTAGCTAATCCCATTTGACCTTTACAGTGCATTTGAAAATACTTGGGCACTGTATAATGGGTGGATCTAAAATGAATGGAAAATTGAAAAGAAACAACAAACAAAAGAATGCAATGACAGAAGTGTAACATGAAGTACATTTGGCTGTCATAATAAAATTAGCACATTTATCATTGCACTATCCAAAGTAACTGAGGTCAAACCCAAATAAATCCTGAGAACATTATCTGACCCATCTCCCTTCACCATTTGTAGCACAAATGGATGCTGAAGTTTAAATGATTTCCAGCATTCTAGCAGCTCTCAAGGGATTTAAAATATTGGCAAACTTTACTGTGAACTGTCAATTTTCCTATGACTCTTATCATTCCCTTAAGTTTAACCATGATAGCACATTTCAAGAAGGGGTCTCTTTTACACAGAAGACAGCACCAAGCAGCCCTGTACTAAAGCCCGATGGGTAACCACTCACCTCATGTGCCTGATGTGGGAAAGGATGAGGAGAAGCTGAGCCAAGCGCCTATGTTGCTGCTGCTGGGAAAGGCCGGATTTGGCCATTAAATGCATCAAAGTATCGGTAATTTTATCCAGAACACGATGGATATGCTCTTTTTCCTCCAGGGATTTCAAGGTGCTAGAAAGAAATGTGTAGATCCCTGTGGGAGGAGAGGAGGGGAGGGGAGAGGAGGGGAGGGAGGGGAGGGAGGGGAGGAAAGGAGAGGAGAAGGGAAAGAGGAGAGGAAGGGAGAGAGGATGACTAGCTTTATCAGGATATTATAACATATTTATTGATTAGTGTAATGAATGTATCATATAAAATGATAAAACAATAAGGTGATATAAAATATTCATTTAAATAATCAGGTAAGATCATCCTTAGCAAGCTGATCACAATCTGATCTAGATAGATAATTCTCAATCTATCTGGCTTTAGCCTCAAATGTGGCAGTCTTTCTTACTACCCATGTATTTGAACCTTGGAGGAAGTACGATAAGCTTTTGATGGGGTCACAATGGACTGTCAATTAGTAATTTTAAATTCTTTTTCTATGGCTAAAACATATAGTTGGCAATCAAAAAAGAAATGAGTGACCTAGTAAGCTGATTATTACCGGAGTGCAATTTATCTGTTAGAAAGGTTTTTTTTTTGTTTTAAACAGAATAGTTGACCAGCACACTGTGTTCACCTTCAGAAGATTAGACAAGGAAGGTACTACAGAAAGAAGCTTAGTTTTGTATACATGTACCTTAAAGTAAGGCCCACAAAAGACAATGAGTCGTCCTTCTCAATAGGAAGAAAGGAACAAATGTTCAAGGCAACCTTCCTCAACCTGGTACCTTCCAGATGAGATGGGACAATAGTGTTTGAAGTTTTGGAAGTCTGAAGCCAAACATATCTGGAGGGTACCAGCTTAGAGAAGATTTTCTCAAACTCTAAGTGAACTAAAATCAGGGGTAGACGGCTGGGGGTTCAGAGGGGCTTGGGAGAACCTCTACCTAAGATTCTGTGCAGTTCGCAGAACTCCCAAATCCCACTCCTGGCTGGCTCTGCTCACCCCACCCCACCCCTCCCAGGAGTCCCCATGTGGTTTTGGATGCAGATAAATGCAGATCATGCACGGAGGTTCAGGGAGGTGAAAAATGCACCTATTGGAAATTTGGGGCCTCCAGAGAGCCTCCTCAGCCTGGGGAGGCCGTTTTCGCCTTCCTGGAGGCTTGAGGATGGTCTCCAGAGCCCAGGAGGGCAAAAATCCCCCCCCCCGCTGTGGTGCAGGAGGCTGACTAGGCCATGCCCACCATGGCCAGGCCCACCCAGCAAGCGAGCAGAGGACCCCTTGCTAAAAATTTTGAAGCCCGCCCCTGAACTAAATAAATGAAAACAAATCACAACAAACTTGAAAAATTGCTTTAACACTTATAAATATACAAAAATAATATAATTTCAATTGAAGTTCTGATTCTGACATATGCATATACAATAGAAGAAAATAACTGTATGACTATTAGCAAGCTTAGCAGTTTAGCACCGATCAAAACATTTTGTGATAAGATGCATTTATTTGTTTGCTTGATTTTCATAGCTGCCCATCTCAATAAATGACTTGGGGAGGCTTACAATTCAAAGATGGCACAATTTTGCCATATGGCTTTAAAGAGGTCCTCCAAATGAAATAACATCCTTATGTGACTTACTGGTATGTCAGTCTGACATATTGAATCAAAAATGATCAGCCTATGGCTCAACAAAGTGAATAAATCATGATTACATTAATCATAAGTTTCTGACCATCATGATGGCCATTATGGTAACAAAGCATTCTCTCAGAGATGGTCATTTTTGAAACAACAAGACTTTTATTCAGAGAGAAAAAAAAAGTAAGAGAAAAAAAAGAGAGAACCTAAGATAAACACTGATCACTCTCACACTAAGAAAATCACATTGTCACAGGCCCCTTTATCAGATCATCAGTATTCTGGCTGTACAGCTCAGACTTTGCAGCTGGGTGCTTGGACTAAGCTGAAATGCATCAACTCCAGAGAATTCCTATAAAAGTCAGTCCATCTCTTTCACAATATAGGAGAGAGCAGACTAGAAGCCAAGTTCTTAGTGCCATCAGTTTATGTGCTGAATATATGCATGTTTTTATTTCTCTTACTCTAAAGCAAACAATTTGAAATACACATAAACTTGGGCCTTTGGTTTAATTTTCTGACCTTATTGCCTAGTTTCAGGAAATTATTCCCATTCTAAAGAAAGTTACTTATGTGGACATATGATAATCAAGTGCAAAGAACATCCTACTAGAGATCTAAATCTAATGCAAAATACAATAGTTATAAGGTTCCTAAATAAAATCAAAGTATTTATTTTGGGCAAAGACTCTTGCTTATGGCTATAAGCAGTGGTGCTATTCAGCCGGTTGTATCTGGTTTGGGTGAACCGGTAGCGATGGCAGCGGGAGGCTCTGCCTGTTAAGGCCTCGACTTGCGACCGGTCCTAAAGTCCTTGACTTACAACCGGCTGCAAGTCCTCGACTTACGACTGACAGCCGGCAACAGCCTAGCTGTGCCTGATTGGCTAAGACGCGGCTGGCTGAGCGCGGGCTGCCAGAAGCACTCCTGTATAAATAGCTGTCAAGCAGGGCGAGGTGCTGAATTCTATCTGTACATAGTTATTTGTTGCATTTACAATACATTGCTATTCAACTCACCTCAGACGCCTCACCTATCCTTCGATCTTCTACACTGCCCACCCACCCGGACGTCATCACATCCCATTTTTCACGCTCTGCGCATGTGCAGAAGGTCCTGCATGTATGCGCTCCCATTTGTGAATTGGTAGCGAAGGTAAGTTGATTTCACCCCTGGCTACAAGCTATGACAGTCAGAAGAGTCCAGTGTTATGTTGCAGAGTCAATGAGATGGGCAGCAAATACATTTTTGCTGAATACACTTCTCCTGGAGAAGCCATCCTTGGATCCAGCTATTCTTAATAACTACCGTCCAGTCTCCAACCTTCCCTTTCTTGGGAAGGTTGTTGAGAAGGTG